CACTATCATGAATAAATAGCACATTTAAAAAAAACACAATAACAATTCTACAACAATGAGACAGGGTGAGTATATAGTGTGTTTCACAGATTTAATTTAACCTAAAAAAAAAATAAAAAGATAATGCAGGTAAACATTACATATACCAGAATGTGGGGGAAAATTTTTAAATATATTATCAGTGTAGGGCAGGGGTGCCCAAACTCAGTCCTGGAGGGCCGGTGTCCTGAAGAGTTTAGCTCCAACCCCAATTAAACACACCTGAACCAACTAATCAAGCTCTTACTAGGCATACTAGAAACTTGAAGGCAGGTGTGTTGAGGCAAGTTGGAGCTAAACTCTGCAGGACACCGGCCCTCCAGGACCGAGTTTGGGCACCCCTGGTATAGGGTATGGTCTCAGTATATTACCATAAGGGAGATTCGCCAAAATATTTCCATTACACAGTGATGCTGACATTTATAAAATTCTGTATTTTTGGACAAATAAATAAATAAATGCATTTGTGTGGGTTATGAGAAATTATAAATTCATTAGCCCTGCATCTTTTTTGTAAAGGTGTTTCTGCTAGATTCAAATGAGACTTTCAGGATATAATGGCGGACTTGTAAGTAACCATGAAGATTATTTGAAGGGGATTTTCGCTGACACAGGCATTTAGCCTAGTTCTTCTTTCAGTTGTCTCTATCTTTTAGTAAAATTCCCATATGTTTTCGTTTTCAAGCGTACGCTGATGGGCGCGCGCTGACATGCACGCGGGTGTCTGGTGCTGTCCGCTGATTGGCTGTCTGGATTTCACAGCGCCGCCTACTATCATTTACTATTCGCGCGCTCAGTGGATCAGCGCACTTGCAGTAGCGCGTCGCACGTACTGCCTGGGGTATATTTCTGAGGATCATGCGCTTGAGTGTCACAGTCAGTATCCGTATGACCTGGAGATACGCAGCGTGACTTCTTTTGAGTTTCGTATGAATTGAGAATAATTTTTTGAAGTGTATTGTTATATGTCCGGAGGTTCATCTTGCGCAGCCATTTATCGCCAAACTTCTGCAGGGCTGATCTACAGCGGAGGTGAGAAACTCAGTCTGTGTTTACAGAAGCGCTCGATGCGTTCAATACGCGGCTTGGTTTGCATGCATTTCGATTTTTTATTTTCGACCTGCTCTGTGTTCGTCAGTCAATAAATTACTTTCAAGCGAGACGGAATGGTTTACTTACATATGTTACCAACAGATATTCCGTGCTGATCATATTCACCTTATTAATGGAGAATGTGACCTGTGGTGCTAGTATGCTGGTGGTCTTGAGTGGGAGTTCTTACAAGTGCGATATGCAAATATACAACAATTGTAGAACACAACCAAGCCGTCATGTAATTTGATGTACTGCTATGGAAATGAATGATTGCTATATACTATTGGTTATTTGTTGTATTGGCATGGTACTTTAATGTATAATATTTCACTGAATGACTGTAATGTTCATTTACTTCACTAGCTACATCCATACTAGGTTCCCACAGTCAGGGAAAACTGGTTATAAGAAGGAATTTTAAAACGGCAGTTCCAAGTCTATAAAACACATTGAGATTAGTGAAATCTTAAAGTCCCGTGTAAATGTCTATGTATTTTATCGTTTAGGATGTTCTAAAATTACAGTAAATTGGCTTAAAAATAGAGTGTACATGGTGTGCAGGATGAAGATGGCAGCTTTATGGAAGTGTAGTGTTTGCTGAGAGTTTTCAGTGGGGAAATCATTTTTCATTTCTCATATTTATTAGTATGGTAGTGGTCTTGTGGTGGGTGGGTATGGGAACTGGAGGGTTGTTGCTGATATTCCCTTGTTGATTTCAGATGATCATTACCCATGTGTTCTTCCCCACTATCGAATAAGTAAGCTATTTGGGGGTTTAAGCAGATTGTCTTACCTTACTTGATTAATCTGTGTTGTTTATCAACAGCCTTATATTGTGCTTCTTTCTATTTTTTTTATCAAAAAGAAGGGTCGTTTTGGTCAAGATTGTGGAAAGAAGAGTGTTTGAGACATTTGATTCTGTTTTGAAATGCTGATCTGCATCAGGTCGCTGTGATTTGGCTGGACTTTGCCTCTGTGATAGCAGTCATGCAGGCAGCTGGAAGTGCTTATACTTGGGAAGGACACTATGCCCCGCTAATCTGTATCACCAGCCAAGCCCTTTATTTACTCAGACACACTTGTGTAATTTCAGTGAAGTTGTAGCTCCCTTCCCCCACCGTCTTACACACAAACACACACACACGGACACACACCTGCTCATTTCCCAAGGCTAATGTGTAATCCACTTTGACAGAAACCAAAAGACCAAGACTCAATTTGATCCTTTTGCTGAATTTATTGAAAGCCGACAATGTTGTGTCATACTGGTGTCTGTTACAGGGCCATGAACACGTTTATTTCCTCATTTCATAATATTCATAACATCCTTTTATAGTAATTTGTCAATTTACACAGAACTCTGTTTATGGTATACGCTCCAGTCTCTGGAATACGTCAGACATTTGTTTGTTTGGATCTTTTAAGAGAAATGTGAGTGAGAATCATTTCTTCTTGTCATCACAGCAGTCCTTCCTATTTGTTAGAATCTTGATCCTTGGTATTTTTTATATTCGGCATAAAGTTTCCTTTAAAGTCAAGACTGCCACAACAACTTTACAACTCCTAATAACATGCCAGTGAGCACTACACAACCTGTTGTTGAGGATATGGTTTCAAAACAGTCCGGAGCATTTGGGTTTTGTTGTTTTACCCTCCACATTTGCATTAGACAGGGTTCCCACAGCCACAGAAAACCTGTAAATATCAAGGAATTTTAAAATTTCCAATGAAACTGACCTTAAGAAGTCATGGAAATATCATGGAAATTTCAATAATGTAAGTAAAAATTGTAATTTAATTTTCTATTTATTGAATACGTATTCTACAAATAAAAAAAATAACTTTATTTTAATTCAATTTAAATTATATAAAAAGTTCAATTTTTTCAAAAGGTATTTTTCAATTTATTCAGTATTTTACTTACAATATTGAAAATTTCAAGACATTTCCATGACAATATATATGTTTGTGTATAGTATATGTAGAATAATATTTATAATATTTTATCAACTTATCCAGTAGGGTTAAATGAGTGTAAAATCATGGAAATGTATTGGTCAAAAGGTGTGGGAACCCCCGAAGATCATGCCGTTTATTTATCTTGCTGAGTGTTGCTTTATGCTTGAGGAAGCCTGTTTTGATTTAGAGCCACAGTAATCAACACTACAGTCAACATGTGGGTGGGACTGAATGTTTTCAGCTTTCTGACAGTCATAACTATCTAAAATGCAGCCGTGCAAGGATGCCAAATATTCTATATGGTCAAAATAAAAGCCCTGACAAAAAAAAAAGTGCAGTAATTGTGTGAAAGCAAGGGCCTTTTTGTTTGCTTATACACTATACAGCCCCTGTGGTGAAGGCTGTGCTCAGTGTTTGTTTGAGCAGGACAGGAGAGAGGACATGTGGCCGGCCGTACTTGACAACTGCAACCAAAAAGTAAACACATCCAGAATCCCTGCTACTAATCAGCTTGAGCTTTGTTTTCATCATGGAATTCAATCGAGCAGCAGTTGGTGCGCCTAGAGTGTTTAAAAGGGCTTTGACTTTTGCTGTTTTAGCAGATTTGCATTGTTGTCTGGGGGCTTCACTAATAGGGTTGCATGAGCAGATGCACTGGGGGATCCTGCTTTTTGACCATATGATGAGACTTTATTCAACACTGTTTGGTCAAAAACAATAAAATGGTTTATTTTTATGAAAGTTCAGACAAATTCTGTTGCAGAATATGAGTGAGAGAATAAAACTGTATGTGGTTCCCAGAGGCATCATTCATATAGGACTTGACAAATAGTCAATTTTTGGTGATGAGCGCAAAATCATTCTTGACATCATTTGGCCTTCCGCTCTTTTTATCTCATTGACGTGCTCAGATGGTATAACACATGGTAAAGCAGATGCGCAGGGGGCGTTTGCTGCCTTGACCTCTCGGGCCTCCATTTTGATGCTAATGCCAATGGTTTTATGAAGGAGGTCTCTGTGGGGGGCCTTGGACTGAGAATATACCTCATCATACAACACCCCCTCCCTCCTGTGCACTCCTGTCCAACTCTGGCACCCAAACGCCAGTGGGTCTGAATAGGCAGGCGGCCATTGGGACTGTGCATTGTTTGGGGTGTCCCTTGACGCCCCGTGCCATAGCTTTGAATGCCTCCATTGAGGGGCCCATATGTGCTGTGTCCAGGAATCTCACTGAAAGTCACGGGCTGATCTCTGAAATGGCACAGAAGCTCGTGCTGTCATGCTGGATCCATCCGCGTGATTAGGTGATGCATTGACATGTGCAAAACTCACTTTCTGCCTTTCCACAAGAGCCTGGAAGATACAGAAGTAGGAGGGAGGGATGCAATGTGAGCCAGAGCTCTTTGTGTGGGTGAAGGACTGCTTTTGGCTGCTTATCACCTCTAGCTAATGCTGATCGACTCATAGGACTCTCATCTGTAATGGCCCACGTTTTGGTTTTGAGGGGGAAAATAAGAATGCTTCTTTTCAGAGGCACTAGATCTCATAGGTCATCGTGTTTTTTGTATCGAACCGAAGTTAAAAGAGCCTCTGTGAGTCTGAAATACGCAGCGAATGGAGATTTAAACTCAAGTTCTCACAGGCTCAATCAAAGAAGGTATTTGCACATTGAGATTAATCGCCATATTCATCCCCATGAGTCGTCCAGCCGAGGAAGAGTAATTTTCCACTCAGCTTCCTATAATGATACTGTGGACCTTGTGTTTTACACAAAGGTAAACTAAATTTTCAGTTGAGGGTGGAGGCTCAGCATTAACGAATTAGTTAATGCGTCAATGTCTGTTTTTGATTGTGTTTGGATTTAGGTGAGGCTCCTCAGACTGATGCTTCTTTATATCCTTCAACAGGACAAAATGCCTCAAACGCCTCCCTTTCCAGCAATGTATGGGTCTAATGGCTACAACAAGAATCTCTATAAGGCCAAGGAAGAGGACTATGAAGGCCTGTATTACCATGACAACAACCTGGTGTCAGGGTCCTTGGAGGCTCTAATTGAGCACTTGGTCCCTACGGTGGCTTACTATCCTGATGTGAGTGTATATAGTATCAAAAGTATTAAGCCAGTTCACAATATTGGATTTTGAGTATTGAAAACACATGCATGCTTATTTTTATATCACAGATTTATTTTTTAAATGTCAAAACACTGAGACCACAAAAGTGCCTTGCAATTGGTCTCTACTTAAAATTCAGCAATATGCACTACTGTTAAAAAATTTGGTGTCAGGAAGGTTTTTAAAAAGAAATTAAAACTTTTAATCCCAAGGACACATTAAATTGATATAAAGAGATACATCTTTTGTAACATTATAAAGAACTTTATTTAAAATAAATGTTGTCCTTTTGAGCTTGTAGTCTAGCTAACCACATCTATTTTCCAGAAATATAAATACATTTTATGTAGTTAACACTGTTTTAATGTTTAAGTCCAACATTAGTTTTGTTTAGAATATTGAAAAACAGACATGAATGGTTTGTATTATTGCACCAACATTGATCTCTTTTTTTTATTGACTCGCAGAGGACGTACATCTTCACATTCCTGCTCAGTTCCCGTCTCTTTATTCACCCATACGAGCTCATGTCCAAAGTGTGCCATTTGTGTGTGGACCAGCAGAGACTCACTGATCCTCAGGCTGATAAGGTACAAGAGTGTCTTTACACTGATTGACATAAAAGGTGGCTTCAGTCGTCATGGTTGCTCTAGCATTAACAAGTCATTTTAAGAACCAAGGACAATAATTTGCAATTACAATGTTGTTTACTTTATCTGTAGGCAAGAGTCAGGAAAATTGCTCCCAAGATCCTGCAGTTGCTGACTGAGTGGACGGAGACGTTTCCCTATGACTTCAGGGATGAGAGGATGATGAAGAGCCTGAAGGAACTAACACATCGTCTGAGTTCTGGAGATGAAGTAAGTCTGCCATTTCCAAGTGTTGGAAGATCATTTCAGTGGAAACAATGAGTTTTTTATTCTTGAGGGAATGTCAGCTAAAGGGCAACGCCGTTTTCAAAATAATAGTCACCTGTAAGGTGCAAAGACATTAGCTTATGCCTTTAGTACCACTATTAGCATAGACAGAATAAAACATCTTTGCATAAGTCTTATCATGGCTTCTTTAACATTCAACTGGTTAAGACGTAGGATGTAACACAGTTGGGTGAGAAGAGTGTCAACACCTGAGCAATGGGGGCTGAGATTTCTTTAGTCCTAAAGCACTCTGACAAGAGGAGTGAGAAGAAGGCTCTTTTGTTTAGCCGCTTTTGTCTTCACTGGTGCTTTTCCACAGACTGCATTTAAATAGTTCCATTAGCGCTGACTCGTTTGTTACCGTGTTTCTGGCTTAGCATTTTTTTCCATCAAAGGGATTTTTCACCACATTTGAGATCATCATTCATACAAAAGTGCTTTCAAAACTTCCCGGGCACAAAAACCAAAGCTACACTGGTTTTGTTATGTGTTTATTTGATTAGATAACATTTTTTACATCTAGTTGTCATCCTTCCGTTGTGGTCACATCCTTTTGACGTCTGTCAGCCAGAGCTTCATTTTGAATTTGGATAAAGTTGGCAGCTCTCATCAAGTGTTGTCCTCAAACGTCCCTGTGAGCTTTTTTCTCTATAATCCACAGCTGAACAGTCATCCTGTCGTGAACTCTTGATTTTGTAAATGTACAGTGAAATAAAAAAGAGATTTGCTGAATCTAGCTCTGGTCATCCCGCATGGCTGGCGAACATTAGTGTAATGACTAACAGCAGGGCGCTAGTTAGAATAGCCAGTTTAAGATGGAAGACGCCACCCCATCAGATCCAAACGAATGAGGTTCACTAACTCGAAAAGACAAGCATTCATCCTCTGGTGACTTGTGTAGTAAACACATGTGTGACTATTGATCTGCTTTATCCTGACCCAGGAGATCGATGACCTCCTGCGGCCTTGCTAAGCTCATAGAGGAAATGTGTGCTTGTTGTACCGCCTCCTCAATCTAGTGAAAGGGGCGATAAGATAATAAGACTGCATGTACAGCAAACCAAAAAACAACAACATGGAGAACTATAAGTGTGTAAGGGTCAATGACATAGTTGACCTCTTTATTTGAAAATGAATTAAAATGTTATTCATGCATACAATAACCTGAATATACCTCTTATGTTGAGCAAGTTTTTAATTTCTGAATTAAAATTAATTTTTGTGTAAAGTCAGTGTCAAGATTATACAATTGTCTGAATATAATGAATAAAAAAGCCTAATTAAAGGGTGAAATTCTTAAAGAAAACCTTAAGTAGTTTAGCGTAATCTTACACTGTGTGTCAAGGTCAATAAGTCTCATCAAATATTAGATAATTTGACCTTTTAGTGACAAGGCAAGGTTAATTCAGGTTGTAAAATGAATGTGACCCAATGTATGTGTTTTTTTTTTTTTTTTTAATGATGATGCATGACATTTTTAGTGCCTTTAAATAAATTTTTTTTTGATTTTGAAAGTGTTTTTTTACCTTTATTGTATACCGTTTTATATGTTAGCCATAATGATGATCAAATTTTATTTTTAACAGTGTGACCACTTAATGTTTTCTTTATTCAAAAGTCAAAGTATCTTTATGATCTTTACGGATGTAGGCGAGACAAATGAAATCTGTGTTTTGAGTTATGACTGTCTGGTAGATGTGTATCAGTGCATGAAAAGAGTGTCTCATAGTGTGTAGAATGCATTCGTTCATACCATCAGTATCTTGACTGTATTATGTAATTCAGTCGCTGTTTTTCTCCCGCCATACGAACGGCATGTACTCGTACGTGAATTTTGTTAATGAGAGTGTCTGTTACTGTGGAACACGGACTCTGCATTGATGGGGGATTCACAGCAGTCAGAGACACACAATAGACAATATGTGTATTTATAGCTAGACATGAGCCCATCTGAGTCAAATGTGGTGTATTTTCAAATGTAATGTCCAGTGCTAGCAGCCCATCATAACAAGACCACTATGAAGTGGATTCCAGTTAGGCCTTTTATGTTTTGACCTCTCCTGGACCTCAATGGTCCTGACTAGTTTGCCAGCAGTTTGTTGACCTGCTGTTTTCTGTCTTTTTACTGGCAGTTGCGTCACAGATCTCTTGCTTTCAGCACAGGAGCTGAGAATAGATGCCGTAACATCTGTCTCCAGACCACAGTTTGGTCCTCAGGCTTCTGGTCGGATTAGATTGTCATTATGCATGTAGTATTTTGTATAGGAAAGGCAGGGCACAGTTGTGCATTTGCAGGCACAGCTGTTTGGTGCACATTTGGACACCTTTTGCACAAATCCTGTTTATTGAAAGTAAGTGAAAGCATTCACCCTTGACCTGGGTGTGGTGTGTCAATGCCAGAGTGATCTGTACTGTGAGGTTGTGCCATGTGGATGGCTGTTCCACACTCGTGCCAGGGTTAAAAATGTGGAGGCAGCACACAGGCAGCTTTTTTATTTTTCCACAACAAGTGAGTTGTCTGATCCGCTGCTCACAATGTCAAGCAGTTATCGCCAAGAACTCCTGCTAAAAAATAATCTTTATTTACTGCGTGTGTGTGTGTGTCAGCATATGGTGGACCTTGGAGAGGGAATATTAAGATTTTCTCTGATCTTTTAAAGTGCTGCAAGGACTCCTCCTGTACTCTCTCTCTCTCTCGTCAAATCATCAATATTCTTGCATCTGCACAATGTGCTAGAGTGCAGGTTGTTCTGAGCCAGATGGATTTATGTGCCACTGACCTCCTGCACAACAGATTAATGGGCCACTTTTTATTTTCTATGCGTCAGAAATGGGTACAGAAGCCTGACAGAAACAAAAGATGTTAAAAAAAGTACATTTAGTAAAATACCTTTTTTTTGTTTTTCTTCTCCTGTTTAAGTAAGGCTTCCCTCAAATAGTCCGGTTTAAATTCACGGCGTGTTTTTGAGGTCTACTACTTATAGCCCAATGATTGTCAAGCAGACAGAGGATGTAGATACTTGTCTGACTGATGTTGAGCAACAGGGCATGACCGTCGGTGTCCTGTTCTTATGCAACAGAAGTCCAGAACTGTGTCAGGCTCTTATTATTAGATAACTCAACCCAATCTTGTGTTACGAGGGGGAATGGGAGGCATGCAGGACTCTTGTGAACCTTTGAAGGACATGAATGAAGTGCTGCCGTTTCGTAATCCTGCATTAACTGTTTATGTAATATACTCAAGACCCTATCTTGGAACGAGCTGATCCACCGTCATAGCTGACCAATCAAGAGGAAAGGGCTTTTTTCTGCCATTATACGCCTTTAAATCCATTAGATGTTTGCAGGGCAAATACTTTGTGCATTTCCTCAGCTTTCTTATCAGTGTGGGACACATTTTGTTGTCAGTCTTTTCAGATGAATGATTACCTTAAAAGCATGGTTGTAAATCCACGTCTTCTGTCTCCCTGTCTCTCTTCAGCTCTATCGTAAGGCCGTGCAACAGATGACACAAACACTGATCCGTAAGCTCACCACACTGAGTCAGTACGAGGAGGCTCTGGCCAAGATTAACTCCTCTGTGACCGACAGACTCACAGTGCTGAAGACCAAACCTCAGTCCATCCAGAGAGACATTCTGACCATCTGCAGTGACCCCTTCATCCTGGCGCAGCAACTCACACACATTGAACTGGTGAGTGGAACTTTACATGACCTTACATTCCTCAGCTCACTGTGGGTTTGGATTGATTTGTTTACTAAATCAATAATCTGTGCAGTTGTTTTCAAGGTGACCATTTGGACTCACTGCAAATGTTAAGTTGATATCATCATCTTTATTTTTCAGGAAAGACTGAGCTACATCGGACCAGAGGAGTTTGTTCAGGCGTTTGTTCAGAAAGACCTTCTTGATAACGACAAGGTAACAGTCCCTTCCTGTTTATGGTCAGCAAGGTCAACTGAAAATATACACAATTCCAATATTATGTCTTGCTCTCACGAAAACAAATATCCGACTCTGACAAATCAATACTCACAATGTTTACGTTAACCCTTGGGTTCAATGTGGTGTCACCTATTTCACACAGCATTCACAGCACATTCCTCGTCTAATCTATCAATCGTCCAAGCTTCCCTCGTCACGTTCCACACAGTGTCCTGTTGTGGCCAAAGCATAGCAACTGGTTTCTCACAATAACCTGCCAAAAGTTTGCTCAGCCCTGCCTTGTAATGCCTGTTGCTGTCTAACTGCTAGGCAACAGCCCGTGTGCGATTTTCTCTTTTGTTCTGGTAGCCGTCTCTCCAGAGGGTCCTTGTGCATCACCATGGCTCTCTGATGTTGTCCGTCAAAGGTAGAGTAGGGTGGATTGGGCATTGTGTGATGGAAGGCACAGTCAGACTCAGACCTTAGGAATGTGAGGAATGAAGGGTTAGAGTGACCCAAGCTTTCAGACAGAGTGTCTGTACACATTCCCTAAACAGATAATAGCACAGGGCCCAGTGAGCTCTCTGATTGAATGTGCATTGTTGGAGATCATCAGTCATCTCAGAGGCCTTTGTTCTTGGGATGGAAATGTAGGAATCCCAGATCCCAGCATGCAAAGTTCTGTGAGATCACTTAAAGAGCAATATTTCACAGATGATGAACTGTTTAAATTCATGCCAAACGTTTTAGAGCTCAGAATTTAGGATGAAAAATAGATGCACCCAAAATTCTGGCTGATACAGGTAAATTAAAATAGCAGATATTATAAATCTATGCTAGTTTGGTACCGATAAATAAAAAATGCTGATATTGGCAGCTAACCAATATGGTGCTGCTTAAAATGTGCATCCCTAATAAAGACAATTTGAAAAGTGAACTGGAAAACATTATGGCACGATATCCTAAATGAAGCTCTTGACCAAACTCAGGCCTCATTGTAATTAGAATGATGATATTGACCTTTTGAAATGTGAATTCTTGCAGAGATGCTTTGGTGATCACAAAAAAGCAAGTAACCTGGAGGCTTATGTCGAGTGGTTCAACAGGCTCAGCTACCTGGTGGCGACAGAGATCTGCATGGTAATAATCTGCTTTTATTGCTTTGTCTCATCCAGCAACTTGCATTTCTGCAGGTTGTGTTGCACAATTAGTGATTCTAATGTGGTTTTAAATATAAAACTTGTAGAAAATATACACTACCTTTCAAAAGAGTCAGTAAGTTCATGAGGTCCTGCTGTTCTTTCTATTCATCAAAGAACCCTGAAAAAACTGTACCACAGTTTCCACGAGAATATTAAGCAGCACAACTGTTTTCAGCATAGATAATAAGAAACGTGTCTTGAAGAGCAAATGGGCATATTAAATGGATCATGTGACACTGAAGAAAATTCAGCTTTGTCATGACAGGAATTAATTATATTTAAATTATATTTAATATGTCACAATTGTACTCTTTTTATTCTATTTTTGATCCAATAATTGCAGTCTTGGTGAACATCAGAGACTTTCAAAAACATGTTAAAAAATCTTACCGACCCCAACTTTTGAATGGTTGTGTAGATAACATTAGATTTTGTATCATGAAAGTTTCTAAACTATTAAGTATTTAATGAGCTTTTAAGTCAGAAGCTATGAATATAACTTTTTTTTGGTGTTCATAAATATTGCTTGGTTTTCTCATGCAGCCTGTAAAGAAGAAACATCGGGCTCGAGTCATCGAGTTCTTCATCGACGTGGCACGAGAATGCTTCAACATTGGCAACTTCAACTCGCTCATGGCCATCATTAGTGAGTGTTTTGCCGTCCCTTGCTACACTTTGCTCCAGTTCTTACAGCTACAGAAAGCTCTTTTGTTCCCCACAAATCAGTTTGGATAATACAGTTAGCTGTTTTGGCAGGATTTGGTTTGCTTTTCTAATCTCTGCTCTTGTACACTTAACACACACAACAATGCCAAACCTCTTACAGACTCTTCAAAACAATTTATCACTTTATTTGTGTGTTTGTTTAGCTCTGCGGAGAGTCTTCTTTAGCTATTTGTCGAGGTTTAGATAATGAATTTTTGCCTTAATTTTGATTAATCTTTATCCGGTCCATTGTTCAATAATCTACAGATAATCTTTAGCTAAAATATATTCCAAACAATTTTGTTGTTTGTGTTAGCCTTCTGATAATATATAGTACACTTTACCAGCGATAATATAATAAAATAATGATCAGCTTACATTAATCATTCACTCAGTTCTCTGAGCACCCGCCCAGGCCTGTGTCTGAGGCATTATGGGTAGGGGAACAGGAGTGGAGAGAGCCAGGAGAAGAGGCAGCTGTTCAGCCTGTGTGAGCGAGAGCTGGAACGAGGGAGAGGCATCCCTCAGGCAGATGGTCGGTGCTGACCAATCCAATAGACTGAGTGAGGGACAGACTCATTGAGAGGGAGATTGTGGGAGGGAGGGAGTGGAACCAGCTGTCCTTTCCCTGGTCATTCCCTGGAGACGAGCCCACAGGCCGGGGCTCTTACACAAGCCTCTCTCCCTGGAGATGGAGCGCTGATATTAAAGTCACTGAAAGAGAACAAACAAGTCATGGGAAAGGTTGATCACTCCTGCTTCTGTGTTTTGGAGGCAGCGTACATTGTGTGACGTGAATGGAGCATCAGCGTATGGCTAGGACTGAAAGATAATTTGCTCTAGTATCATGTTAGAGTGCCGAAGGAGCTCTGGTCCTGACACCTGTTAGTATAGACAGATTGCTAATGGTACTAAAGCCTCAGATGGCTCTTTTGTAGATGAATAGATAGTGTTGCTGCTATTGTTCAGGCTTAAAACTGGGGAAGAAAAATCTGAAATGACTGAATTTTAGATACAGATCACAACATATTCAGTTAATTTAGTCTTGAATCATCGTTTTCCACATCTGATGTGCATGTCTACCTCATAGCTCGAATGGGAGGTGGATTGTTTTTTTTGTTTGTTTTTTTTTAATACAGAAGTGACACCTATTTTGAAAGACACCTTTGTTTATCACGTTGAAGCTAAATTTGCTACAAATAGAGTTGGGAATTCGGTGTCACGTACACACCACTGCTTCCTTGTGTCATGAATCATTGTTAATGCCCTACAAAGTGGTAGATCCAGTTGTGATGTGCCCTGTAGGCTTTTAGAAGCTGTTGTAAAAGCAGTTCCCTAATGCAGTCTTACAGTGATGATAACCCTTAGATGTTTTTTTTCTTGGTTTTTGGTCAGTTATAGCTGTTATATAATCTTGTGTTCCCTTTTTGCCTTCCAGATTGTTATCCCTTTCTTCAGTCTCTTGATTAAAGACATTTACTTCCTCAATGAAGGATGTGCCAACAGGCTCCTGAACGGACATGTCAATTTTGAGGTAATTCTTGGCTTGGCAGTACATACAAGCTAACATGATGCATAGAAACAACTGCCGTCACAGCTACTGAATAACAATGGATGGCTGAGAAAGCACCGTCACATAGCAACAGAAGCATCCAGATTTAGTTCATTGACGTATACATCTGTTGAAATGAAGTTTCAAGGGCATCAATTCAGCATGACAGTAGTTAGAAATGAAACACAGGCGATGCTTTTTCAAGATTATTTGATGATTATAAAGTTATTTGGAATAAAAAAAATGCAACAATGTAAAAGTCTTTATTGTCAGCCCTGATCAATTTAACTTTCAATCCTCTGTTATAAGCAATGAATATATATAAGCAATTAGTGAAAGGTAGGGTCTGATGAGGTAGATCATAAATCTTCATGATAGGCTTTGCATTGTACTGTGTAGTCTGTGAAGTTCTGCTCTTCAAACAGTCCTCCAAAGATCCTGACTGACCTGGGGGGTGTTATTGTTGAGTTCAGCTCAACAGTGATGTTGTAATGAATTGTTTGCTTATGTTGAGCTGGAAATGTTTATTTATCCAGCCTGAGATTCAAGGTAGAGCTGTGAGTTTTCTTCATATAGCAGAAGGATGATAGCACCAAGTGATGATGTGTATACTGAGAAGAGGAGGGCACTGCAGAAATGGCAGAAAAAGCCGTCAAATGGGGGCAAAAACAAAAGTGTTGCGTTTATATATATATATATGTGTGTGTGTGTGTGTATTATTTAATGTTTATTTTTTTATTACATTTTTTATTATTTCTACACTGCTGTGGTTCTGTAGAGCTGTCACTGTAATATTTGCTGAATGTGATGCACAGTTCATATTAATGGCAGCCAGCTTTGAATGATATATTAGTCACTTCAGTTGCAAGAAGCTTCAGCCGCTCTGATGTAAGTCACTGGCACTGATTCACGTAAATGCAGTTAAATCAATTCAACTGTCTCTGGGATTGCTTTAATAGCACTGTGAACTCTCTCTCTCTCTCTCTCTCTCTCTCTCTCTCTGTGTGTGTGGGTGTGGATACATGAATGTACTTATAAAGTTCTATAGCTCAGGCTCAGTCGATATGATTTAGGTATCAATGCAATGATGGGATAGAGTCTAGTTTGTTCTAATCAGTTTCATGACTAGTTTGTACACTTTTTACTTCAGCAAATTTTTATAGAATTGCTTCATTTTTAGAACGTTTCTGATTGTGATATGCATTTATGCTGTGCGGGTGAGTTGGCACAACGGAGCATGCTGCTAAACAGCCTATAAAAGGCTTTTTTTCAGTAATATGAAACAGTTATGAAAGAGAGAGAGTGAAAGCAAAAAAAATTAACAGGTCATGTACAAAAATATTGAATGATAAATGATTTAAAACGTGACTTATCATTTAACAACATTTTGATTAATTCATAACATTTTAACAGAAAACAACAAAGAATAACTGAGTACATTATATATATAGGCTATATATAAAGAGAGAGAGATCAATAAAATATTCTGCTGTCATGAAGACATCACGATAGCTAAAGGAAATGAGTGAAGTTATTGAGGAGAAATAACACGTGTGTGAAGTGTGTGTGTGTGTGTGTGTAGTGTGTGTGTGGTGTTCCGTTTGAGGTCATATTTATTTTAGAACTACAGTGTGAACGGTGCCGCTGACCGGGGCTGCTGCCTCAAACACAACACTGTCTTTCAGCTGTCGAAGAAGAGGTCCTGTACACGAAAACGGTAGGGTTTTTCATGCCATTTCAAAATATTCAGAAACTTTTATGCTTCTCAGTAGCGTTTGGTTAAAAGATAAAACGGAGGAACAGGTGTAACGTCAGTAGGTCTTACGCAACACCAGTACCATTTCAAGTACACTTATTGTTAGGGATTTTTTTTTTATATAAAATATATCGATTAGAAGTTTATTTATAATTGTATGTATTTGTTTGTGTTTGGCTTATAGCAAGTGGATTACCTTGAATATATTTCCTATTGTACACATCCTGTCTAAATTAAATAACATGCATCTCTCATGAATGTAAGGACATAAAGATAATCAAATATCCTGTGAATTCAATATCCAGATTAGATGCAAACAAAATAACACTTTTATTGAGTTGCATGCTGTGTTTAACAAAGTTTATGTGTGGAGATGTAGGGATGTGTAGAGGTCTGCTCAGAGCTCTTGTACTGTAAATACTGTGATTGTGCTCAAACATTTTTTCTCTGTGGTGGGAGTGTCCAGTGTCCATTGTGCGTTTGTAACCCAGAGCGAATTACAAAACATCTTATTTCATTTTTTTTCCATCAATGAAAGGCAGCAAAGAATGACATCACCAGATAGTCCAGGAAAGAGCATACTGCACACTCACAGGGTGCTGGTGCCATCCGCTATTACTGTGCCTCTAAATTATTGATTAGGTCTTAATCACTGGGGCCAACAGATCTCTGGTAAAACGCTCTCTCTCTCTCTCTCTCTCTCTCTCCGTTTGAGATATGAAAATATGAACGACTATTCTGTGTCTTGTGACCAGTGTTGGGGAAAGTTACTTTTAAAAGTAATGCATTACAATATTGCGTTACTCCATAAAAAGTAACTAATTACGTTACTTAGTTACTTTTTATGGAAATTACTTTTGCGTTATTTTTAAAATCTGGACAGGGATTGCTTGTTTGTTTTTAAAATAAAAAAGTTATATTTTGGCAAATATAAAAGCCTTTTCACACCAAAAGTGAAATGAATCAGCCTCAGGCTGAAGGGAAAGTAAATTTACGTCCGTACAGAATGCAGAAAAAGACATTTCAACACACTTCAGCAATAAAAAAAGACACACAAATGTTTGTCTAGAGTAGTTTGTGCTTATTAGTACGGTTGAACTGAATCAGCGAAGGTCAGAAGCAAAGACATTGGTTAATAGAATGGGATTAAATACATAAAGGATATTTGTGTTGTTTAACATTTAATTATTGCAGGTTTGTGTCATATTCTGAGTTGCATTATTTTTATTCATTTTGAGGAATACTGAATCTGTTTGTTTTTTGCGAGTGAGATGAATTAATGCATATTCATATTTATTTTAGAACTACAGTAACATCTTCTGATTTCTCTCAACATGGGGACAGGAGAGCTGTCAGTCAATAAATTGGGGGAAAAAAAGTAACTTGCGTTACTTATTTGAAAAAGTAACTCAGATATTCTCTTGTAAATTAAAAAGTAATGCGTTACTTTACTAGTTACTTGAAAAAAGTAATCTGATTACGTAACTCGCGTTACTTGTAGTGCGTTACCCCCAACACTGCTTGTGACACTGTCTGTCTAAGCCCCTCATAATGAGATGCATGACAGGTAGATGAAAGGCTTGGGAGGATCCACTAACCTTTACCATCAAAGTTGTGTTCTGTAGGGGACAAATATCAGCAGTGGCACCTGCAGATGTACGGCTGTAGGCACTGTGCATACCGTGAGCACTCAGAATGACCGGAGAAACGTTTGCCCTGCAA